ATGTGTGTGTGTAAATATGAACTGCACGCTACTTGGATGTAAAATAATAGCCATCGTGGCTTTGTCAAGCTGCCGTCTACCTTTGTGATGCAGGAAAGACTAATATAAAGTGAATCCAGTAGAACTTTTTATTACCTACCTGGAATGGGTGACAATAGTTGAAGAAACTTTTGGCTCTCAAAATGGTAATGGTGCGCTATTGGTTGGTACTCGCTGATACCGATACAACCATTTTAGTGCTGGATTGTGGCCATGCCCGATACTGGTATCAGTGCAACACTAGTAGTGATACTGGTCTAGGTTCCTCAGTTCTGGCTTTACTTGTCTTGCAAATACCAGCGAGACTCTGCTTAAGAATGGTAAATGGCCTGTACTTATATAGCGCCTTTATTCAAGTCAGGAGACTTGGCCAAAGCACTTTACACTACATTAATTCACCCATTCACGCACACACTGATGGTGGCAAGCTACATTGTAGCCACAGCTGCCCTGGGCAGAAGCGTGGTTGCCGTACACTGGTGCCACCGGGCCCTCTGACCACCATCAGTAGACAATGCAGGTGAAGTGTCTTGCCCAAGGACACAACGACACTGAAAGTCGGAGTCGGGGCTTGAACCGTCAATCCTTGGATTTCGGGGCAAACTCCTACATCCAACGCCACTGTCGCCCTTTTTTGAATGAACAGTGGCGCCCTCTAATGGATGAGGTAACATTATAGTACTGACAGCAATTCCTTTTAAGCGGATGAAAAATTGGAGCCAGTATCAATCTAATAAACCATTAATCCAAAGTAAATTTTAAGTCTTGTTAACTTTTACACAGATGACAGATCTGTGTTTTTTCTCGTTGGCTAGTCAACTCTCTCTTGTTTCTTCCCTACGGTTGTATCCCTATGCCAGCTTCATGCGGCCTCAAAAGCTTTTTCAGGTTTATCGAGTCATACTGACCTATGAATCTGCCACATATACTAACCCTTGAGCAGACACTCCCGGCTTGTGCCAGGCAGTGGGCAGGAGTCGGCTTCTTTCCAGGGCGTCCCTCTCTTCCCGACCTCGGTTCGCAAACAGCCCTTTGGTTCAGGACTCAGGAGCGAGACACACGCTTATTGAACCAACCAGCGTTCCCCTGGCTTCCCTCAAACGCTCAGTCCGTGCCAACTGTTCATCGGGATCAGTAAAGCTCTACTGTATGCTGCCCATCTGCGGTGCTCCTGCTGCTTCTCCAAGCTTGTTTAACACTCAGGGAAAAAATCCTGTGGCACCACTGTGGAGATGAAAGTTGCTTTAAGGCGTTGGGTGTCAGAGGGAATTCCACGGTGCGTTAAAATAAACAGGGATGCTGATGTTGTGACGACAGCAGAGAGCTCAGTTTGGCTGTCGCAGCAGTCTCTGAGATTCTCAGATGCTGCTTGTGGTATAAAGTCTGCTCTGTGCTGCAAAAATCAGCAAACTGTAGAGATGTTGGAGGACAGCAAGACTAATATTAACTCAATGAATGGAGCCTTCTTTAGATTTTAAAATGGGATTTCTGTCTTTATTTGGTGCTTTGTTTATCTTAAGTGAGCTGTGAGTAATCAGTATCCAACCTATGACAAATAGAAATCAGAGCAATTATTATAATTGGTAACAGTTGGTCAGACCGGTTCCTCTAAAAACAAATAAACAAAAACGTTGGACAGCTCATGGCGGAAATAGTGAATTAAATTTAAGAGTGTATTCACACCTGCCACATTTGGTCTGCTTCAGTTCCTCCCCCACTCCCACCCCTTCTTTTCAGACTATTTTTGCAGGTGTGAATAAAGACCAGTGAAATACAAGAGTGTTCATCTACTAGACATTTGGACACTCATCTAAAATGATGTGACCACTAGTGCTCAATGTAGGAGCGAGGGCTCACATTCAGTATGGCCGTCTCTGTGTCCGCTGTAGG